TATTATTATATATATATATATATATATATATATATATATATAGTAAAATCTTTTTCATTTTACAAACCGTTAGTTTTTTTTATATACCGGAAGATTTGCTAGAAACCTGGGAATAGCGGTAGTCGTGAAAAGAAAACATTTTGGAGGTATTCGTAATGTATGAACACGTACACAATGTGTATTTATGTCTACGTAAATAATACATATTTATACTTCGTCATAGCTGCGCAAATTTTTGTGACCAATAACAAGCCATGTCAAGTTTAATTTTGCTGTGATTTTCAGTACAATGCTGAAATGATAAAATGAACGCTGCTAGTTTGAAAATAAGATCAATGAAACATACCTTCATTTATTAATAGCTAAAAAAAAACTGTTGCTAGTGGAATGATTCGAAGAATCTTCCTCTTATTGTAAGCCATATTGACATCTCGATCTACAACACGTTTTCGATCCATATAGCAATTGGGAAAACCGTCCCGCTGGATGTGAAAAAAATGCAGCATGTGAATCACAAATAGTCTTGATTACCCATTATCACTTTCAAACTTTCTCATATTCAAACTGATTATTGAATGACAATTTGAGGATTTTCTGATTGACATTATCAAAAACAGAAGGTTTGTTTTATTTCCTTTGTTCATTTGTTGACAAAATGAATTTATGAATTTGAAGAGGAATTGCTGAGAACTTCAAAATTGCGATTGGTATCAGTTATGACAAAAGTAAGCTACGTATTTTGCAATGCAGTATGAAAAACAAGTTCTTTTCTCATCGACAATATTGATCGCGAACAAAACAGAATGGTACCATTGGTAGAGAAGTATAAAAACTAAAGAACACTAAGCTTCTAAGATTCCTTACAAAAGATCAGTTTTTAATGTCATGTCTCATAGCATTTGTTGAATGATCTTCCATCGTCAAATAATTTATTTTATTTATTGAAAAAATTCCGGAACAGAAATTTCATTTTCTCTCAACCGAAAAATTGCAGTTATGGTGGAATATTTCAGACAATCTAATTGATTTATTTTTTTGCGATAATATTATTGATGATTTTGCTTACAAACGAGCCCTCCTCTTTCCGCTTCTTTCCCTCTCATCGTTGCAGCTAAACTATAAACTTCAAATTAGTAGAAGAAATCAGGTTTTCCATTTTTTAAATTTCTCCAGTCTAACCCATTCCTCAAAATCTTTTTGAAGTGACTCAAATAATGGAATAATGAAATATAAACATTGAAAATATGTGAGCGTCCCATATTTCATTTCGATTTCGTACCATTTATTCGACAGTAAAGTTAATAATATGTAAATATAGTAAAATTGAACAGTTATAAAGTGAAATATGCATTTTATAATTAGCTCATTTTATTGCATTTTGAATTATTTTATACTTACCGCCTGCTAAAAATTCTCAATACTAGTGGTTTGCAAAAAAAGTTATACTTCGCGATTTTACAATAAGTAATGTTTTCTTCGCTTTCTTGAAATATGATATCGCTTTTCTATATTGTTCAACAGTTCATCATAACTTCATCCTGAATAAAATAGAATTCCGATTCTCAAAGATATGTAAGCACATGTTAAATTCATGCAAAAATATAAGCTCACAACTGATGGATTTTTGACAAAGTTATTTTGGACTTCTACAGTTCCTTTGGTTAATTAACTTCTATTTCTCTTGAAACTGTCTATCTTCTGATTTGATTGCTTGCCATTAATGCACGTTGTTCATTTACTCCATTTTTCTTTAAATGCAATGCATTGCCAATACTGTGCTAAAGATAATGATAATGATGGTCATTACTCTAACAAAGATAATGATTCTTATTTAGATAAATAATATAAATGATGATTATTTTGTCCTCAACATTGATAATCGTGAAAATATTATAAATATTAAACATATTGCTAGTCTCATTCACTGTATTTTGGATTGCACATTTTGGTTTACATAAAATTGAAATTTAAATGATTTTCTAACTAAACAGAAAAAATGAATTAAATGTGCATAACCAGAAAGAAAGATAATAAGAAACATTGACGAAAAAAAAAATTGTTGATATTCATTATCTGCTTAACGTATAGATCGATCTTGTTATAATTTTGGCATTTGTCATCAGATAGTTCGAGCTGCATAGACTAATAAATGGTTTGATAAAATGAAGAATTTCATAGTTTCTGGATTTTCTTGTTTGAAATATTACTAATTTTATTATTAATTTTTTTATGGAAAGGACAAAGTCCTATTCCGATTTTTATTAATTCTGATTGTAAATCAATGGAAAATGTTGACATTATCTGATAAAGAATGATTTTCTTCACATCAGACTACTTGTAAAAATTTAAAAATAAGCAGGCGATTGACTTCTGAACCGACAGAAATGAATTAAGATAACTCCATTTCCCATTTTACATCAAACTTCTGATCTTACAGCGACTTTCCAATCCTCGTACTTTTGTGGCGTCCACTATATTTGTGTAATCTTTTTGCTCTTTTCAGTAATCACAAAATAAAATTATGGAGAAGCCGATATAAATTTCAAAACTGTTTTAGCATGATAGGCTTAACGTTCTCCTTAATGATCGACCTAGTGTTCACCTACATCAGGATTGGGATGTAATCAGTTTACAAGCGTTGTTCTACTAAAACAAATAAAGAAGGGAAATTCAATTATGGTCTGAAAATAAAATGGTTCCAGTTTAAAACCAAAATTCATTTCCAACCAATTCTGAGGTATTCTCCTTCAGTGTACCGGAAAATATCCCCTATTTTTCCACCGACATTATTTCTTTAATTTCCACTTTTTTTATTTTTGTTTTCCTATACTTCCGTGATTTCTTGGATGGTTGTCATCATGAAAATACATATCGCCAACATTTTTGCACTAAAATATTGTTGAAGCTCACAGACTGTTCTTTTAACTTGATTAAATCTAAATAAAATAATTATGAACTTGAAGTAAAAAGTAATTTAACATTTGGAAGCCAAGTTAGGTTTTTTTTGATTCTTATTTAACCAGAACTTTTTGAGTTTCCTTTGCAAATCTTTGCTTAATTTGTGGCCAATTCATATTCGCGACTTAACGAGAAACTAATTCCAAGTTATACGTCCTTTCCTTCTTCATTTTTCCATCTATCCAACCACTTAAAAACAAATTTTTTCTGGCCATAGTCATCAATTGACTATAAATTTGTTGTCTTATAGAGAATGGATTTATCAAGGATAAAACAGTATCGATTAACATTCTCGTACCCAGACCGAAAGGAAATCAAAATTGTTCTACAGAATGGGAAAATTTATCATTAGTTCCATTATCGTTCCTAAGTAGAATGAAATTCGAAATTTAAATGAACTTATCTTTATAGATTTTGATTAAACTTTGTAACCAATATTTTATTCCCATTTTGTTATTATCGTTATTGTATCTTGCGTTCTGTGCTTTACTTTAACAGTTCAAATAATTCCGCCAAATTTTTGTTATCATTTATTGAACAACTGATATGTATGGGTGTTTTCTTCAGATTTTTAATGGACGAGCCTGGTAGGAAATATTTAAGCTGCGACCTTCAAGCACAATAAGAATTTTCTCCTATGCATAGCAGCTTCTACTCCCAAGCACTTTTTTTTGGAATCGTTTTTGATTAAATCACTCTTTAAACCTTCGTATATCCCTGCTGATACTAAATCGGTTAAATATTAATTAGCATACCTTCGGTTTACATAGAAGCAATCTCACTCTCACATATGCTTGCCGAGAGTAAATTACTCAAATTCATAATGTTGTCTAGAGAACGTAATGCAAAAACCGCAGACCTTCATTTAATATAATAGCCAGAAGCCATTACATCTTTTGTAGAACAAACACAGATAATAGTACTGATTTTAACTATGAATGCTTTGAAATTTCTCTTTTTAAATTGAAATCCATGAAGAGAAAAACAGTAAAAGATATATATCGATTTTACATATCCTAAATATAAACCAGCAACACTGTGCTCAAGATATTCGATGAGCTTATTTGTTTTTAGTCAATGATCCCAGACCCAAAGGATTTCAAATTAATCTTTAATCAAGGAATAGAAGTTGAACGCAAAGCAGGAAAACGGCGCTTAATTCCTGATTCGGACATTATTCGTGTAATAATGGAAGTAAGGTACAGGAGGAATGAACATGAAACAGTACCCGAATAATATCGGTTTTCGGTTTCTTTAAAGATATGTGTAAAGTGATGATGAAAGATCAAAATTCACTTCATTTCAAAAATTCACATTCACTTCAATTTTTTGAAACAAAGATCTATCATTTGAATTGTAAAACCTATAGATTTCCTCATCCACCACTGCCAGTAAAAAGATTTGTCATATCAACAATTTCCCATAAAAAATCTGTGTTACAAATGTTAAGACAAAAATGGACAAAGATAACGATGAATACGCTGCAGTAAATCCAGCAGACTCAGCTGATGGATAGTCGTTGCACAACTGTCCAAAACACCAACATAATTCAACGGTACGATTCGAAGCGCGCCTTGCTAAATGTGGCGGCAATAGTTTATACGCAGGCATCCTACTGCACGAGGTATCTGCAGCAATCAAAAAAACGGAATAAAACAAAAACTCTTCTTCCATTCTAGATTTAATAAGATGCATCGGTTTACTTTGTTTGCAAGGTAATGTTGCGAATTTTTCCTCATCAAAAATGAATTCATTCTAGATAAAAGGATAGGATTTTCTTGACTATAAGCAGGATCTTTTTCTTTAAAAAGTATCTTACATCAACTCAAAATAAATAAAATGAACTGGAAACACTTTACGATGCAAGTGACAAGTAACATAATCGAGATTTCCTTAAAATTGAGATTTTGAATATTCTAAGCAAGCATCATTATTGATCTGCCATAGCTTAATTTCAAAAATTAAAATTAGAACCATAAAACTCTTTTGTGTGAATAGACGGCTTACTTCTAAAAAAAATTAATTAAACATATCTTATTCCCATGATTTGATTGAGTGTCGGAGAAAGATTCAACTTACATAAACAAACAAAAAATTACCTGAAGCAGAAAAGCCATCAGTGGATGGTGTGAGACCATATTTAAACACAGAAGAAAAACATCCACGAATAACATTGTTTCCAATGTGATGTCCTGAAAATTTTCAAGCATTTTATGACAGGATACGGCTACTACTGATACCGTACTCTTTTTAGATGAGTTTTAAATGAATGTTTCAAAATTTAAGGATAAATAAAAATCAAACCTGCTAAAATACGGGGTTCAATAACGGTAACACATAAAGAATGACTGCATGTTGTGACGCCTATATGTACTTTGGGTGGCATATCGTAACAATAATCGGTAAAATTCATCGGCATGAAGTAAATCTTAATATTAAGATTCATTAAATTTACTACATCTTCACAAAAAGAATTTTTTTTTTTTGCCCCATACTATATCATTCAAAGTATTAAAGTTTTTCTAATTTAATTTCAGTTGCAGTAGTGTCTTTTCAATACAGTTAATGATTAAAATCATCTGATTTTTAATGCTACTAGCGTATGGTGATATTTGTTCGGTCTGCAGAAACTGTTCAAGCACAATTGTAATTAATTCCGTCTCTACATGCAATAACATCTTAGAAATCTTGGGAATTTTTTGGGAAATTTTGATATTGCGACAATTAAATGGTTAATTTTAATTGGTTTTACATAACTCTACCCTTGCCGTGCAGAGTGATCAAAATGTTAATTTTTATAAGGTTAATTAAATTTTTGTGAGATTTGAAATGGTCCAAAAAGCAACAAATTGATATTTTATATATTGACAGATTCGGTGTAATAAAAGTTAGTAATACTAACTATATCTTGCAACCAAGGAAAAGGTGTCATTTCATAAATCTTTGAGTAACAATAGTGTCATTTTGCAATTTGAAGTGATATGTTTTCAAAATATCGTTAATTTTTCGCTCCCATTTAGAACTTTGAAAATAACTGTAGCATAAAAATTTCAAATACATGAAATCCAAGTCATTCAAGGTATCTGCCGGTCAATCAATCGACAATTACTGATGTGACTAATAATGATAGTAGCTTTCAACTTTGTACATAATATTTGGTCAACCAGACAACGTAAGGAATAATTTGGCCAACTAAAGCTTTTGTTGATAATCATTGTTGCCTCAGTCATCCAGAAAAGGGAAATGAGTGGAAATCTTATGATAAACTCAAAACAATGAATTATTTCGAAAGGGGATGCTTATATTTACATGCATTACACAGAATAGCAGAAGCTTAATTACTTTATATCTATAATTGAACTGAAGGTGGAGACAAGCTTTGAATGCGAGCCCTAGAAGTTTAAAATCTTCGCTATCTTCTTCTTGTTATGGTCTTTCTTAAGAATTTTTTGGAAATACTTCAATGAACAGTGATCAATTCAAGAAGAAGAACAACAATTTCACATCCTTATTCCCCTGAAATTCATTTTGAATTTCCAGCATTCTCTCTTTTCAGCCTGCTATTACTCTAGCTATGGTTGAGAATTCATGACCTTTGGTATAAAATTATAAAAACTGATACGGTGATTACTCTTTTCTCGTCTCTCCTTATTCATTCGTCGTCTTATATTCTGAAATCAATAAGAGGTCGGAACTCCGTAGCATTACCGGAAGTGTTCTTTACAGCTTATGCACACTTCTGGAAATTTTCCCATTCATCGTAAAGCGATATTGTTTTTCAAGTTCTTTTTTCTAACTCTACTTTTATCCATTTGCTCCATTTTGTGTAAAACTTTAAGAAATTCAACGATACTTTAAAATAATAGACATTTTTCAGTCATCTGCTCACGGAAATTATCTTGCTTTCTGCGATAAAAGTGAAAAGAAGATAGGGAAATGATTATGGAAAGTATTCATTTTAGCTTTGATATAATTTTTTTTTCAGGAGTGCACAGCTGGAATGGCCAGTTATTATGATAGCTATTTCCCGATGAGCCAAATGATGCAAATAGAGATGGATGGATAAATGGATTTACGACAAGAGATATATGATGTATCACGTAAGTGATTGGTGATGTATTGTTAAGATCTTAATTACAATGACAATCTTAATGTTGCAGACGATCTTAATTACAATGACAAATTTGATCACTGTTAGCAATGTCAACTATAATAGAAGAGATATATTCTGTGCATTTGATACGTACTACGTTCATTGCTTGCTTTTTTTCTGATACCAACGGAGGTGAGTAAGACAGTTAAACGAGTTAACAAAAGTGAAACTAATTAAAGTCAAATTAAGAATGGCCAAAATGGTTTGAAGAGTAGTATAATGATTGCGATTAAAGTACTAGAAGTGTGATAATAATGGCAATGATGAAGCGACTTTCATGTAGGCGGTATAAATAATATGATAATATGGATATAAACAAGATAAAAGAAGAAAATTCAGAAACATTTATATATGTTTGAGTGTAAGCAAATATTGTAAATATTGTAAGCAAATACAAGAACATGTAACGATAAAAAATATTATGTAATTGCTAACTTGACCTGTATTATCGTTATTATAAGTGTATGTTTCTCCGTGTAAATCTGCTTAATATCATCAATGGATAAAATTGTGCTAAATTTTAAACAAATTTCATAAGGCAGTTAGACATTTTCCAGAACACTTCTCTCTTTAAATCACATTCATCATTTAGTTGCAGCTTCTTGCCATTTCTTTCCAGCTTTTTCTGATAAATTTGCACTTAAACTCAATACTTTTGAAGAAGGAACTTCTGCTGATTCTAATCAGAAATATGCACATTTTTAAAATTTCTAAACAACTGCAAAAAAAACTTCATTAAATTGCTTGCAAGCCAGGTAGTTTTCTTCATCTCTCATCCAGACATGGTGTCCATTTGGTACAGTTTTTTTTCTCCCATCCATTGTTACGATAAAAATTTCTTTTACCGCAAGTCATAGTCTTTTTTGCCAAGTAAAAGAAAAAGGAAACGAAAATCGAGTTTTTCTAAATCAACAATTCTCTGAATTTTTTGGAATTTAGGCATACTTAGCAGCGATTTTTATATGAACAGGATGGGACAATGGGATTTAGCAGCGTTAGTATTGGACTTAAATTGATTTAGGGTCCTAGTGCTCAAAACCCAACGCTGTATATTTTGATAGTTGGCCAAAAGTCTCACTGCTCAGTCCTGCAAACCAGATCCCTCTATCCTCTTCTTCTTCTTTCCAGGTCCACATTTGCTCATTTTATGAATTGACCAAAATACATATGCCCCTTCCTTTGTCCACTGAAAGCTCCTTTGGCAGGAAAAACGAATCTGACCAACGATATCATTCAATATTAAATCATCCCTAATATTTCTTTTCATCCCTGTGAATACATAACAAACGGCATTTCAAGTTCAACCCCTCCTGTACTCAATTTTCCCCATTCAAAAAATAAAGTTTTATTTTTAAATATCAATTGTTACTCAATGTAGAACGTTTCGAAGATTTTTTTTTATTCCTAACATTGAATCAATTCACACACAGTTCGCCTCATCCTAACACGATCACTTCATTGCAACGTTATGGCTTGTCGAATTCATGCAAAATCCGTTTTACAAGTTATGAAAATGAAATGAAAGGCGCGCAAAATCAAAGATGTGGGAAATCAACGCCCTTTTTTAATTTATAAGAAGACAGCTATAAATTGTTAGTGACACCGTTTTCAGATTTAAACTCTCACTTTAATTTAAATCATTTCAAAAATTCTCTAGAAACTGCCCCATTGAAAGTTTATGATATCAAATAGCTCTGTTTAAATTGCATCAAAATTCGAAAATGCATAGCCATAGCCGAACTACTTGATAGTGTTATCAATGATACAATTTGGGATTGGAAGTTGCAATATTGTACACACAAACACGCATACACACATGCACACACATATACACACACGCACGCATACACATATATATATATATATACGCAAATATTTGCTGTATTGATACCAATAAATCCTTTTATATCGAAGAAAGACTTAAGAAAAATGAAAGTTAGAGCAAAATTGAACAAAGCTGAATGACTGTATGCAATAATAATATTAATCAAAACTTGAAGATAAATTATTAAAAAATGTAATTTTTTAAGTTCAAAATTGATTAATTTTCCTCAGAAGAAGGAAGGAAAACAATGAAATTTCGAAAAAAAAGGCAAAATTACCTGGCTAAGAAATGACCAGTGCTTTTGGAATGCTTCTGACATACAACTGTAGCAGTACTTACCAGATGAACTGAAAACATTCAGCACATAAAATTTTAAACGATCTGAAAATGTATAATACCGAATCAAATTATGGTAATATAATAGATTTTTTGCTCAGTTCACGCCACTTTTTCTTTAAGTTCTCAAATCCATGGCTTTCATGCCAGATAATCAAGAATTTCAATCGTTAACCAAGAAGTTAAGGGGATGAACTCATTTTTCAATCTTAAAATGAACTTAAACAGAATCAAAATACCTGAAATCAAAGTAACCAAGTGCTGTGGTAATAATTGTTATAGGCGTTGTTGCTTGCACAATGAGCCAAATTAATGGCCCTGCAATTAAGATTGTTCAAATCATCGTTTTCCATAATTAGGACATTCAGGTTTTAGAAACTATCAAATTCATTTGCTGTATACAGAATTGATTATATGAAAAGATGGAGAGCCATGTGCTCCATTCTAACTAATATACTAATGCAAAGCTGTTGGCTCCAATTTCACTCGTTCTAATATCTTCAAGTAAATTAGGAATACAACATTAAATCTAAAACGAATTAATATAACTCATGACTCCAAACAATTTTTAAATACACGTTATATTCGGTATAACTAGTCAAAATATGGCTGTTTTTAATCAAAATACACAGATTGAAACACAAGTTAGTGATTGTTGATAGATACTTTCTGTCCTGTTTCCAAAGCTGTTGATTCAACTTGCGTTTAAATTTATACGAACTTTTGTTCAAAGTGATTGATATCAACAATTTAGTATTTGATAGTTTAGTATACTTGCTAAAGTACTGGCAACTAATTTAAGTAATTATTGGCTTCCTCTAATAGTGAAGATCATCATCCTCCTCCTAGATTTGCCATCATTTGCAATATTAAGAGCAAAATTTGAAGAATTCATGATAAGCTTAGGTATTTATACGTAATTTATATGTAGGATATAAAAAAAAGAACTGAAGTTTACTTCATAAATTGACTTTTTTATAATTAGCATTAAGGAAAAATGGTACGATTTGTTGAAAAACCACTTTAGGCTCAATCAATTATTCGCCTGTGATTTAGACAATCCCACATTATC